TTATATATATATATATATATATAAGCATTATATATAAATATTAAAGCAAATAGAAATGTACACAAATTGACGAAAAGACTTACTCGCAGTAAAATTGAGCCAATAATTTAGCGCTATTTGATAGAATGTACATTTGACATTTTTATTTCGTCAATTAGAGTGTTTATATTACATTTCTATATCTAGTAGTTAGTGCGCAATCGAATTCGCTATAAGACGCGAAGATTCTAGAAGAGTGACGTACGTTTTCTAGACACATATCACAAACAGTGTTACTGTACATTCGATTTTAATAAAAAAAAATAATCGTAAACGCGAATAAATCGTAACGCGAATTGAGAAGAAAATTCCAATTGCGATCTAGCCATATCACTGTTTTGTAAAACAATCGTACATTGTATGTGAGGGCGAAAGGAGAATAATACTTTTGTTCGCAATTTTATTCGTCTCCGAATAAAATTCGGTCTTGGAAGATGGCAAAGAAAATATATGAGTGAAGCATATAATAAGAACATTTTATTAATAACGATATTTTTATTATTAGTATGCTTCCTCTATATACGTGAAGAATTTTGTCAAGAGTTTTGTGTATAGTTGTTCTCGAAGCGCAAATGTGCACTTCGCTTGTTTCTTTATTATTGACTATTCGATTATTATATAATATTATTCCGTATTATTATTATTATTATTGATAAAAATTATTGTATTATGATATTCCCTGTATATTTCATTCATTTAGAAAACGCCTATTGTGAAAAATGACTAATGATGATTAACCCGGCATGCTATGTGCTACGTATTCGTATAAGTGAACGCTTATACAATGTGTGTGTGTACACTGGGGGATTATTTTCTAAAATTTACATATGATATATTAGGCCAGTAGGATAATACATATCTTAGGTTTCGAATATCTAATAATTCTTTTAACAAATACAGTGTTTTAGGTTGTTTAAATGGTCTTTGGGTCCATTTATAAGATTTCTTTGGAAAAAAAAAAAGAAAGGAATGATCCCCTAGATATTCCAATGTATGTTACATATGTAGAAATCAACCTAGAAACAATGTTTCGAG